CAGTGGCGGTGGTTGGGGTTAGATGCTCTTGGTAGAGCAGCCCAAAAGGGGCAGCCAGGGTGCAGGAGTCCCGCAGGGGGCGGCTGGGGAGAGTATCAGCACAGGGATGTGGAGGGGGCTAAGGATCTCCTTGCCCTGAGCCTGCCCGGGGAGCTCTCGTCTCCTCTGCAGGCCCCGTCCGGTTTTAGCTGGCAGTATCAAAGCATGTGTTTATGTGCCGGCTGTGGCTATCGCTCCATCTCCGCTCTCTGGATGAAGGGTGGGATGCAGATCCTATCTGCCAGCCTTGTTCTGGCTGGTCACAGCCAGCCTGCAGTCAGCGTGACCTCTGCTTCCCGAGGAGGCCGTGGCCTGTTTGGAGAGGCAGGGAACAGGTCAGGCGTGAAGGGAAGGAGGCAGAGGGAGGGGAGAAGGAGCTGCGTGTCATGCCCAGCTGCATGTGGCCTCTGGCATGTACCGGTCTTCGGCTGTAACGGGGGGAAGTATGACTGTGTGCATAAATACCTGCACCCCTGCAGGGTGCAGACTGAGACAGGGCAGGTGGGGGAAGGCAGGGAGCAGAGTGAGTGCAGGGCAGACAGGCTGGGAGGGGCTGGAGGGCATCTCCTTGGGTCCCAACTGCCACATCCTTTCCCATCTCCATTTTGAGGCCTGATACTGCTTTGCATTCTGCTTTTCCTACCCCCAGGCTGGAGCATAGGTGCGTGGCGTCCCTTGGTGTGTGCTGGGACTGGCTGTGGCTAAAGAGCAGCCCCCGGGGAACGCAGGGGCTCGGTTGGTAACAAATCACGGGGATGCAAGGGTGGAAGAGGTAACTGCCACTTCCAGACTCTGCCTCGAAGCCACCTCTCTGCCCAGGGACTGGAAAATGTGTAATACAATGCAAATGGTCGTTGTAGGCAAATGAGGGAAATAAACTGAGGTCTGAAATCTGCACAGAACTGCTCCGAGGAACACGGCAGCAGGGGTGGATGCCTGCGTCTGGGAGGAGGGGGCTTGGGAAGTGCTACCTCCCAGACCTACTGGAGGCTTTTTGATGGAATCTGCGAGCGAGTAGGCAGAAGGTTTGAGCTGGATTCGTAGGAGGAAAGCAATTGTTAGGAATGACAAGTGAGAAGGTTCTCAAATGGAAATATGGTTAAGATGGGGAGCAGAGGTGAAAAGTAAGCGGTGGGCAGTGGAGTGCTGCAGCGGAGGCGTGCTGGCATTGCTGTCTTCAGTGCTTACTCCCTTTTTTCCACATCTTTAATGGATATGGATAAGTGAAGCTGGCTGACCGTCGGCCTTTGCTGGCAACCTTCTTGTAGGAGCCTGCGGAAGGAGCTTTGTGACTGGACAACAAAATGTAGCAGGCGAATCAATGCAGCCTTCCAGTACCTCAGGGGGCCTACAAGGAGGCTGGGAGGGACTTTTTGCAAGGGCCTGTAGTGACAGGACAAGGGATAATGGGTTTAAATTGAACGCGGGGAGGTTTAGATTAGATATCAGGAAGAAATTCTTCCCGGAGAGGGTGGGGAGGCACTGGCACAGGTTGCCCAGAGAAGCTGTGGATGCCCCATCCCTGGAAGTGTCCAAGGCCAGGCTGGATGAGGCTTGGAGCAACCTGATCTAGTGGAAGGTGTCCCTGCCCATGGCAGGGGGGTTGGAACTGGATGGTCTTCAAGGTCCCTTCCAACCCAAACCGTTCTATGATGTGGATAAGTGTGGAGTGACCTATAATCCTAACTCTGCTTGTACAATGAGGGTCTCCCTGTTCCTTTCTACTGCTAGATGAAGTCTTGGGTTGTGGTTGACCTAAGCAAGTGTCTCCTTACAAGGTGATGTGTTCCAGACAGTAGAAGAGAACTGCAGAAATATCACTGTGCTGCTGTGTACGTTGGTTTCTTTGATGTGTGATGCTCACCCAACTTTGCCCTCTTGCACTGCGGTAACAAATATTTACAGAACCCAGGAATCCAGGTGCTTTCCTACTGCCGAGGGTGTCCAACACGTGCATTCTTGGTTCATCTTCAGCCCTGGAGAGATTTGTGATGTCTCGGCATCATTTTATTCCATCCCTTCTCAGTGATTCTGGTTGCAGGGAGGTATTTTATCACATGATGACTTCTTTTGAGAAAGTTTTTGCTGAACAGCACTTTTAGCCATGCACAGCCTTCCTAGGCTCCCCCTGGGAGATACAGTCATCTTCCAGCTGGATTACGGAGCAGCTCCACAAAGGATTACGTTTCCTGGAGGCAGCGTAGCTGTGCCTAGCCTGATCTGTTTTCTGCAGTGCTCCGGTCGGGATGGAGACCAAGCGGCTGCAGCGTGAAAAGAGAATTGCAGAGAAGGGCTGGTTTCCTTCACAGATGTCCTGTCTCATCTCTTGACTCTGCTTACACAGCGGTACTTTCTGAGCGTAGGTCTTGCAGCTACAGTTGTGTGGCTTGGCGTGTTTGTGGAGGCCAGAGCCGGGTCAGGAAACCACGTGAGACTTCAGTAAATGCTTTGGAGTTAGACTCAAAGGAGCAAAATAGGCTTTAACCTCGCTGCCTGGGGATCTTGTCTGCTGTAAGCTCATGTAGTCACTTGAACAAACCCAACCACAACCCTTCATGTTTCCAGCTCCCGGGGAAGCACAGTGCCTTGGGTGGGCTTGGCATCCAAGTTCAGGAGGGGTGAGAGTGCCCGGGCAGTGTTACAGTGTCTGGGAGCATCCCTACTGCTGTTTGTCCTCTGCTGAACGCCCTGTGGGGCAGTGCATGAAGCGGTGTAGAAGGATGCTCATCTGCCCTCTCTCTTCCAGGCCTATCTGGAGTCCTTCTACAAGTTCTGCAAGGTGCTGGGAGGTACCACGGCTGATGCCATGTGCCCGATCCTGGAGGTAGGTCTGGAAACCCCCAGCTGGAGGTTATTGCAGTGATACTTGTTGCTCTGTGCTCAGGCCAGCTTGCCTGCCAGCACTAAGGATGCTGAAGATAGCCTTCAGCATGCTCATGCACACTCTGCCTGCTCACTGGGACACCCAGAAAAACACTGCCTGCCCCTAGCTCTGGACAGCTTTGGTTCCCCAGTCCTGATATTGTTGTGTGCTGATGCATCTCTTTACGTCGTAGCACCGTCTTCGTCCTCTCACAAGGATAACGAGCAGAACAGCCAGAGCTGCAGCGCACAGCCTCTGTGTGTGCCAAGGCTAGCTGTGGGTTCTGCTCAGTGATTTGGCTTGTGTCTGGGCTGGGGATTTCCCCACCTGACTGCTCCCCAGACATCAGCTACTGGGAGCCCGCACACGTAGCCCACCCTGGCCGAGCACCAGGTAGCTGTGTGCGTCCCGGGCAGCTTGCTCGTGCTGCGGCTCTGCTCAGAGCAGCGCTGGTACGTGCTGGCCTCTGGCAAAGATGCTGCATCCCGAGGTTGA